TGCTGATTTCCTCATGCGCCCTAACCGACCCCAAGGGTCCAAGGTCCCAATGATCAGATACTTAGGTTTCGGATAGTAGTTATGTAGGTTACTATTTGGGAGAGTATATGATTATTAGGTACTTGGAACCTTAGGGTAACACTATGGGGGTCAATACTATACAGTCTAGAAGCATATGCCCCCCTGAACCCTACATTGCTACATTATTCCAGCCCTTCTGTTAGGTTGTCAGTATCCTGGTGGAGAAGAACATGGATCTCTGCCTCCTTCTGGTGCAGCCGCCGGGTTGCAAGAAGGCATTCGAGGTAATATAGGGGCCTTAACATTTACCAATATATTTTGGGGGTTCCTAGTTATGATTAATAGAGTATAATATACCCCAAAACCCATTCTTTTCTTTAAGGCCCCTGCATTATGTGCCTCGGATCGGGGACTACCGAGGTTCCGGTTGTGACAGAGTGTGAACAGGGTTTGGGGTTCGGAGTTTAGGGTTTCGGGTTGAGGGTTTGGGTTAGATGTACCCATAGGCCCCATAGTAGTTCCTTTTTGGGGTTCATATATAGAATCCTATAAGGTAACCCCAAAAAGGAACTACTATGGGGCCTATGGGTAGATAAAGTCCAGGGTTCAGGTGTAGAGATCCGTCGTTCCCTGCTCAAAGGACTCAATGGCGCAGCCTGCGCCTCTGGTTTAGGGTTGAAGGTTCAGGGGGGTTCAGGGTTTAGGGTTTAGGCGTTTAGAGTTTATACGGGTTTAGGGGTTTAGGGTTGGAGGGTTGAGGGTTTAGGGTGTAGGTGAGCATATACTCTCAGCGTGTCAGCAACCCATCTATAGTGCTTTCAGGAGTTCGACAGACGCAGTCTAGAGGACAACAAGTCCTGAGGTTCGGCGCCCTGCAGATGGGACCCTAAACCCTGAACCCTAAGCCGTTACTGCACCTTAGACTATCCGAAACTATCCCTAGACCCTAAACCCTATAGACCCTAAACCCTAAACCGCCATAGCCAGCCTTCAGTCTGAAAGTTCGTTTTTCAAGACTTGGCACGCAAAAGCCTTGAAGTTCTCATCCAGTGCCGTCGTTGCTGGAAGCCATGAACAGTTTGAAAGATCGCAAGATCGACTCCGACCCTAAACCCTAAACCCTAAACCTTACACCCTACCTATAGTCTCCTTTGTAGTTCCTTTTTTTGGTTAACCAATTTTATGGTTAAGATCCTATAATCTAAATTTGGTTAACCCAAAAAAAGGAACTACAATGGAAACTATAGGTAAATCCTAAACCCTAAACCCTAAACCCTACCTATAGTATCCTTTCTAGTTCCTTTTTTTGGTAAACCAATTTTATGGTTAGGATCCTACAATCTAAACTTAACCCAAAAAAAGGAACTACAATGGAAACTATAGGTAAACCCTAAACCCTAAACCCTAAACCGAACCTAAACTCTGAGCTACAGCGGTCCTGCAAGGAAGGCGGTGGCGGAGCAAACGCAGCAGGGGGGCCCAGAGTTCGCACCGCTCTCCGGCCCGGTTCCGGTGCGAAGCTTTGGTTTAGGGTTTTAGGGTTTTAGTTATATAGGGTTTATATAGGGTTTTGTAGGGTTTTCGTAGGGTCTATATAGGGTTTATATAGGGAATATATAGGGTTTATATAGGTTTATGTAGGGTTTAGGGTTTTAGGGTTTATAGGGTTTAGGGGCAGTGGCCGACCTTGCACACGGCTTGGGGTGGATCGATCGTGGCTCGTTTCTGAGCCATGTGCGCAAGCAGAGTCCTTCAGCAGTTACCCTGTGCCGATACATATATATATATACACACACACACACACACACACGCCTCTCTCTCGCTCTCTCTCCCTCTCTATACATATATATATATATATGTATACATACACATCTATTAGCTTTTCAGGCGGATGACTGATGAGTATGTCCTGCCCTATGCGACCGTCCGTGGCCAGCATAAGGCGCCTTGCCTTCTTTCGCCGGATTCGGAATCCACCCGATTCAGTGTGTTGACAGCACGGATCTCTACTCCGCTTTCCAAGTTGTGTCTACCCCTTGAATGGTTTATAGTGGTTAGATGTGTGCTGAAGATGATGTGTTATTGATGACAATGTGGGACATCAGGACATTGATGATGGTGATGCTGATGATGGTAGTGATGATGATGTTGATAACAATGCCACTGCTGCTGATGATGATGAAGGTGATGGTGGTGATGATGATGGTGGCGGTGATGATGGTGAAGACGACGATGATGATGATGATGACGATGGTCGTGATGATGGTGTGATGATGCTGTTGGTCGTGATGTCCTTAGTCCTTGTAGCGATGATGGCGGCGATATGCGGCGATGATCTTGCCCCTTGCTGGCATTCGTGTCGGAGGCGACGCATTGCAGCACTGCAGTGCAGATGTCCGCTGTTTTACTTTTCAGGACTATTGCTAGGAGCCGCGCAAGGCATCAAGCATTTGGCGTAGCCTAAGCAAGAAGAAGAAGAAGAAGATGAGTTTCTTTGTACATGAGAGGAAGCTATTTCCAAGCAGGGTGATCTCCGTTAATGTCTGTTGTGTTTCTTCGTTCAGGTTGTCCACAGTTGTCTTTCCGACTAGAGTTCTCATTGTGGTTGTTGCGGTGGTGGTGGTCATCGTCGTCTCTTGCTGTCAGTACCATGCAGTAGTGCGGGAATAGACTGTAGACTCGATCGACAACCTGCCACTTTTCGGTGACCGGATAGCTGCGCAAATCATGTCATGTTCCAGTCGCATGACTTGCTAAGCCGCAGTGTGTATGTGTATTGGTACCTGAAAGTTGCCACGAGCCATAGAGGAACATCATCGGTGCCCTTTTCACTGCATGATTGTCGACCCATCAGAAAAGATCGATGGGAGATCGGAAACCGAGGAACTACAGTAACGCTAAACCCTAAATTCTGAACCCTATTGTCCATGAAATTAACTGTTATCTTGGATTTCACGCTATCTTATACTATCAATGACTATACGCATTAGATGTTACTGTATACTATAATATCATATTTTGTCCCACACAATAGTCACTACAGCATATTCCAATATAGCAGTATATTATATTTTAGACCCTATAAGGCAAAACCCTAAGCCCTAAACCCTAAACCCCTAAACCCTAAACCCCTAAACCCTAAATCCCTAAACCCTAAAAGCCCTAAACCCTAAATAAACCCTAAACCCTATAGACCCTGTAAAGCTCTACATCCTGAAGCGCAAAAAGGGGCCCACCGCAAGTGTGGTCAAGTCGAACTGCGGGCTCTTCGGGTCGGATGAAACTTCGGCCAGCTAGTTTAGGGTTTAGGGTTTAGGGGTTTAGGGGTTTAGAGGTTTAGGGGTTTAGGGTTTAGAGCTTTAGGGTTTGAGGGCTTGGGGGTTTAGAGTTTTAGGGTTTAGGGTTTAGGGCAGACTCCGAAGCCGTGAGTTCCGTGTTCTTTCCTGAACCAAAGCAGGAGCAGAGTGGGCCGAACCTGTGGTATGCCGAAGCCTCAGACTCTTCTCGTTTAGGGTTTAGGGTTCAGGGCTGGTTTGGCAGCCCCGACGACGTGAATATCATCATGGCCGTAAGCCCAGGCCCTTAAGCCCTAAACCCCACATCCCTAAACCCCTCGCACACTAGACACCAAAATCCTCAATCCCCCTGAATTCCTCTACAGCCTAACTCCCAAATGCCTAGCACGCCCCCCTCCCTTAAAAACGAAGCCTGAAGCCCTAAACCAAACTCCTATACCCCCACCAACCTCAAATGGGAGTTTCCGAATATGAGGGGGGGTACCTTATTTGGGGTCCTTACAAAAAGGATCCTACTATTTAGGGTCCTATATTAGGGGTCCCCTATTTTCGGAAACCCCCAAATCGAAGTAGAGCCTCACCCCTTGTTTGACGAAGACATAGCCGGAGCGGACAACAAAAACAACAAGTGGATGTTTTTTCGGGTTTAGGCTTTAGGGGTTTTCTTATCGGGTTTAGGGTTAGGGGTCTTTCTTTTCGGGTTCAGGGTTTAAGAGTGATCGTCTTCCCTGTAGTCCCCAGTATAACGATACCCGAATATGAAAAAGCAACATAATTGGGTTCCATATAATCGTCCCCACTACAATATAACCAGCAGCCCTAATGGACATTAGAAAGGGTCCTACTGGTACCTAAACCATGGCTCTTTGAGCCCAGCCTCCTTCGATGCCCGGGTCGCTTTCGAACGTCGAAGTATCTGCACCTGTAGTTCAGATGGGGAATGGTACGACTTCATATGGTAGAATATAGCATTATATACATATATATATATATACACACACCTATACACAATAATCTTTAGTGTAATATAGTATATTTTAGTGAAAACAGTGTAATTCAGCACAATATAGTATCATATAGTATAATGTGGTATAGTACAGTACAGTATCGTACAGTATGGATGAAGTAAGGAAGAACTAGCCCAGTTTGGGGGATATCACGACATGCCATACAAAGTTGGTGCTTAGGTGCTTAAGTCGAGGCTCTCAGTCGTGAATCCCTGGATCTCTGAGGATAACAGCCAAGTTCCCACCGCTCCGTGGTCGCAGGCCATGCCATTAGTCCGTTATTCCAATCGGCGCCGACCTCGGGACTGACTAACAAGAGATGCTGTACCCATAGGCCCCATAGTAGTTCCTTTTTGGGGTTGTTATTTAGAATCCTATAAGGTAATCCCAAAAAGGAACTACAATGGGGCCTATGCGTAGTCTTACGTGTTCAACCTCCCACAAGCCCAGGCACCATCTGAAACCAAACCTCGAGAAATGACCTTACGACGAAGGCTCCATTAAGATCCAGGGTTTAGGGTTTAGGCTTTAGGGTTTAGGGGACATACTGACAGCTGGGCAACCTCTTCCTGTTCCTCCGTATGCTTTGACCGCCAGCGTTTGCCCAGTCTTGAGCACACAGGAAATCACTTCCGAGGCAATCTTGCAGCCGCGTGGAGAAGTCCCTTTGGCCGTGATGGTAATCTGCGTGGTACGCTTGCTTACGATCTTCCAGCTGACGGTCAGCACAGAGGCACTTCCAGATGCGAGCAGCGAGATCTGCAATGTGAGCCGCCCAGATGGAGGTGACACTGCCTTGCTGCAGACATTGAAAGCCTCTGGCGAGCCCATCTCAGCGAAAGAGTTTGCGGAAAAGATGCAGTGCCATCCAGGGGCGAACTCCTTCTTCATCAACGGAGGGGACTTGGTTTGGGTTCTGAAACCAAATCCTGGCGTCCTTTGGGGAGACCTTATGGTGGGTTGGGAGCGGGGCGGTCCTCAGAACAAGCCGTACGTTGATGTCGACTACACGTTCATGTCGCAGAGTTACCAATTCACAGATTACCTGACTCTCGCCACAGATCTGGGCGTGGCGGTTTTGCCTATGACGCTTTGGATCCAGCAAACCATCAAGCTAACTCTGACTTTGCCCATTCCCACGGGCTGCAACGAGTTCTGGAACAAGGGCTCCGGCGGCCTCTACATTTTCCCGCCATGGGAGTTGGAGGCAGTGAAAAGCCCAGGATTTGACGACGCCGGTTGGCCAAGATCCATGGATCCCAGGGACCTAATTGTTGACAGCTTGGCTTTTCGCATCCGCTTCAAGCCTAAGCTGAAGGTTATCCCAGGCGAGCCGCCAGTTTGGATAGGGCTTTCGTTTGCAAGAACCGCTCTGCTTTAACTTTGGGGGTGTTGGTGCTTACCGAATCTCGTGTGTGTTGGTTACAAAGATATATATATATATATATATATATATATTAATATTATATATATATATATATACACATATATTTTCTTTCTATGTATGTACATATATATATATGTATATGTATATACATATATATATATACACACATTTTTATTGTCTTTACATACAGAAAAATATACATATATATATATACATATATACATACATACATACATACATACATACATACATACATTTATACATACGCACATACATACATACATACATACATACATTTATACATACACACATAATAATACAATAATCAAGATAATAGTAATATATATATATATACAGGTTCGGTATGGCAAGTAGTGGGCTTCGGGCTTCGCAGCTGCGAGGGCTGAGGGTTAGGCTCAGGGAGTCAGGTTGCCTGCGGCCCTTATCCTACTTAGTTTTTAAGATTTTCAGGTTTAGGGCTTAGGGTTGAGGGTTCAGGGTTTAGGGTTTAGGGCTTCGGGTTCAGGGCTTTGGGTTTTACCGGGCCACTTCCTACGGGCTATATCCCAACAAACTGGATGACGGCGATGATATCCACAATCCGATTTCGAACCGGCTCTTCCTACATCCCACACGAAGCCATAGACTGGAGAAGACCTCAACATTGCATAAAAAGTGGATGTTTTGCGTTCGGGGTCATAGAGCCTATAGGTTTGGGGATAAACCAAGAGGGCGAAAGCTGCAAGGGGGGCCAGCCCGGACGCCCCGCCGACCATAGAAGTGCGGCTCTCCTTCTACTTGGAGTTCCGGCCCATCTTCCGCACCCCCGGGCCTCAGCCAACGACGGTGACCACCACCCCAAGACCATACGACCGCCGACCTCCACGCGAGGTAGTGGAGTGGTGTTCAAAATTTGTTCGACAGTGCTGCATCGCAGTCAGATGCCTCATCAACCGCATGTGGACCTGCACGAGATGCTGTCCGCTAGCGCCTCTCTGCGGACCAACCTGCCCTTGCCAGTGTCCTCGCGGTGTGCGCCATTTCTCCAACAGCTCCTGGGCTTTGGAGTGCCATACTTTAATACTTTTTTTGGGGACTTGTTCCTTAAAGGAGCCATGATGAAATAAAAGTCTATACTTTTTTCTCCCTGGTTGCTTCAAAGCCCAGCCTAGGCTCCGAAGACTCTGATGGCACCCCCAGCATGAGCTTCCAAATGAGCCGACCTCCGGAGGTGGGAGTTTTGTTAGCGTGAGGGGTCCATTTTTTGGTGGAGGACCCGTAGCTCTGTAGATCCATCCGTAGCCCCAGAGTCTATCATAAAGATCCATAGTGAGTTACTGGGATCCATTATTCGGGCTCTCGTTTTTCCGAAATCCGCCAGGTTTCAGCTGCTCTAAGCGAGCGGGAGTGGATTGCGGAGTCCGAGGAGTGGCCCGAGGGCTTAGCCATTCCTGCCGGATTTCTTTTCGACACCCCGGACTTGCGCACATTGCTCTCCACAGACGAGATGCACAGAGTGCAAGCCTTCAAGGAAACCGTGGATGAGCAGACTGTGCCACCAGAAAACGTGTCGGTCACCGACCACCACTGTGCCGAGCCTTTCGCGATCGGCGGCGGCTGCATATGCACCTGGGGCTGCTCTCCCTTGCCTTACCTGAGCTCAGATATCACCTCGAACACGAGCCTTGCCTGTGATGGGCCATGGCCTGAGCCCCTCCAGTTGGTGGTACTTCGCAAGACAATCTGTGGGCCTAGGAGGGTGCACAAGGCTTACACGTTGGGGAAGACAGCACAGCCCGACGGCATCGTGGCGAAGTGCAAGGTCGGAACGTTGATGGTGGCGCTTGCAGCAAGCACTTGCCATACGACGGGGCGGAGATCCTGGCTGCCTTTCCTGAAGATCAGAGCAGGTTTCGATGCCTCGGCGGTGGCGAGTGGAGTGAAAAGCCAGTCCACGAGACTGTGGCCCGCGGATGGTGTTTGGAGCTTGAGGGCAACGAGAAGGTCATCATGGTAAGGAGAGAAGGTCGTGACAGCGCTTCCGCCAAATGTCCCGATGGCTACCAGGTTGTGGGAGGGGGCTGCACCTTCATTGAGGGCCTCCAGTTCACGCTTCGTGAGTCCTACCCGACGTCCCAGAACACATGGGAATGCGTCTTTAACTCGACACGGTCCTGTGGCGAAGGCAGTCCGCTGTGCCTGCGCAGTGAGGCTCGCGCTGTGTGCCTGGGCATTGCAAGTGTGCAGTAATTACCTCCAATTTTCCACGACATGCCTAACACTCTAAGCTGTAGCATGTGTGGCCAACTGCTTCCTTCAGAGCAGGGATGCTGTACAGAGAATCCTGCCGCCTTCCCTGTATCTGCTCACGCGTGGCAGAAGCGCGGCAGAAAAGACCCTAAACCCTGAACCCTAAACCCTAAACCCTATAAACCCAAAACCCTATAAAATGCCCGCTTCGCCTCGGACCTTAGCCATGAGCAGAAAAGGTCCGCATCTAACCGCACGGCTTATGTGCACCCCTGAGGTAAGTAGCAGTAGTAGTAGTAGTAGTAGTAGTAGTAGCAGCAGCAGCAGCCGTAGTCGTAGTTGTTGTGATTGTAATATTGATAGGAGGACGTGGACAGCAGCCGCAGCAGCAGTATTACAACAATAGTTTCAGTACGAACAGCAGCTTCGTCTTCCACACGTCATGGACAAGCAATGTAGTCATGGACTTGTGTTTGGCTTGTATTTTCAATCATATTATCGTACTGATCGTCAAGTAAGCGCATGTAGTAGCCAGTCAAAAGCAATTAAAGAGCTTCTCAGGGTGGCTGCGCTCCTTCCATGCTGTGTAGCTGGATCCCAATTCCTAACATCAACCCCTAAGCCGGCAAGGGTCGCGGTAAGGTCTGCACGGCCTGCGCAGCACGATACATTGTTTTGGGCGGCCTTGTCCAATTCTAATCAACTTTACATGGCGTATGTCCGCGGTAGAAAGATCTCAATCTCTGATCGCGCAATTTTCTTACTGCGAACCGCTTCTGGACAGTCCAACCCTCGCGACGTGACTTTGTTTGTAGATGTTTTTTGCGCACGACCGCGGAGGGGCATTGTTCACGAATAGATGCACTGCAGATTCTATCTGCAGTGCGGGCAATGTCCTAGTTATAACCCTCCGTGAGGTTAACGATGATTCCCTTGAGCTACATGGGTAGTTGTCAAAATTATGGTCCCTTTTGAAATTTGGGGTACCCTAAATAATAGGTGCCGTATTATAATAAGGACCCAAAAAGGGACCATAATTTTGACAACCACCCACATGCCAAACCCTGAGCCCGAACCTTGCATCCTAAACTAGGGCTTGAGATTCTCCACTCATGCGCAGTTGCCGGAGATGCTGCGCCCCGCACCCGGTAACATGTCGATCATGTTCATGAAGGCGGGGTGCTGTCAAGTGCCACGAAACCTCAAAGGTTTAGAGTTGAGGAAGCAGGGGCAGCTTTGTGTCTAAGACAGCATCCAATCCTGCCATGCGCAGCACGGAACACATCAACACCAAAGCTCCTAACTTGGACCCTTTTGACAATGTTGGTTCGTATACTTCTCAGTAGCACCCTAAACCTTAAACCGTGAGTTATTACTAACACCTTGTGCTCATTGCCTTGACAGTGGCATAAAATTCTGAAAGATCCCAGAGTGAAAGAGTGTTTTCCCAAGGCGAGCTCCATGCAAGCGCAGTGAAATAGATTGCAATGTGGATTGCCATAGTAAGGTAAACCGTATAAGTCACCACAGACCCTTCTTGTTATGGCAGCGTAACCATACATCCCTGGCCTGTAAATCCTTCCGCTTGTGGGGTGGGTGGAGTTTTGACGTGAACATTACCGTTGGTCGCCGCACGTCTTTCCGTGACCAGAGCTTCAGCGAACTTTGGAAAATTAGAAGTTTCAGAAAATTAGGGTACCTTATTTTGGGGTCCTTATAATAGGGATCCTATTATTTAGGGTACTATATTAGGGTCCCTATTTTCGGAAATCCCCAACCCTAAGGGTGCTAGTATATACATTGGCCCCAAAGTACCTATATAGGGACTACTTTAAGGCCAATGTATATACTATTTGGATACATGGACCCTTAGGGCAATTAGTAGCATCGAAGAGCTGCAGCTCCGCCTGCAGATTTACAAAGACTTCCACAGCGACATCTTGCAACTCCAACAGAGGCTTCCGGCAGGACTCTGGTTTTTGCCGAGTTCCTCCTGCAGTATTGGGAACGAGCGAATTCGACGTGTAACTAATGTTTTCGAATATTTTCGGTAACTGTATAACAAATTGTATAGAAGACTTCCTCCTTTCGCAGCTTTAGTGGTAACAGAGTATCGAGGATTAGACCAGCAGCAGACACTGTCAAGTAGTGAGGCATTCAGTCCCGTTGCGCTACATGGGGCCTCTATGCCGCCTTGTTGAAGGAAGACGGCTGCCGATTGCTCCCTTCTTTGGCTTTCTCGTGTTATCTAATGTAGGGGCATGAATAACCCCCAAAATCCTATTCGAATTATTACGGCTCCTACATTAGTCAAGTTGGTTGGTCGGCACGATGTCTAGCACTTTCGTTTTTAGGACGAATACGGCATTCCGTACCAGGTGTGGTAATGAAGCAAACCATCGCGTCAACCCACTGCGGCATTGCAGAACATGGTGTTCCTAAAGTGTCGGACCTCTGGAAGGATTGCCATTGCAGAGATCAGATGGTCGACGCGTGTGCAGCTGTTTGGCTGTAAGCCTGCCTGATTGCATTCACCTGCTTCCGTGCTGCTATAAACCATGTCAGGCAGAAACCATAGTCTAGTACAAAATGCATTATACGCATGGTACATATGCCAGTATCTCCTCCTCTCGGACTCTTTGCGTGCCGAGACCCTAATGGAACACTGTGTGTCTATATATATATATATACAATAGAGGAGACATGTATATATATATATATTTATATATATATATATGATTATATATGTAGGTATGTATATAGATACATACATACATACACACATACACATACATGTGTTTCTCTATTACATATATATACATATATGTACAAATATACATACACACAGAAAGTTTTAGATATGTCTGTAGCCCTTTCAGTAAGGCCGTTCCTGGGTTTTGTGTCCGACATGGCGGGAGCGAGCGGGATGCGGAAGCGGGCCCTCAAGAGGCCCAAGAAGAAGTCGCTAAGGCCTGCTCAGGGGGGCGCGCTCCGGAAAGGGTTTTGTCTAATACAGTTATATAGATAATATAATAGACTATAACATAATATAATATAATATAGTATAGTATAATACTATATAGTATGGTCTTATATATATACAGCTCTAACAAGTTGTATTAAGTGATGAGTTCGGTAGGGCGCGCAGGGTTTCGGGCAGCCCGGAAGTAAAGACCGATCCATGGGCCGATGCGGTTTAGGTCGGGGACTCCGGGCTGTCAAGGTTTAACTTGCTGCAGGTGACAAAGGGGCGCATTGCATTTAAAAAAGGCTTATAGGGTGTTTGGGGAGTATGGGCTTTTAGGGTTTAGGGTTTAGGGTTTAGGGTTTAGGGTGTTTAGGTCTTGTGATTTAGTAGGGTTTTGAAAGTTTAGGTCTTGGAGACTGGATGGGGGCAAGACGATCAGGTCTGGCCTAATTCGCCTGAAGCCCGAACTGTAAATCTGAACGCCATAGTCTCCAAGCCCTGAATACTGAACCCCAACTTCCCAAATCTGACCCCTGAACCCCAAGCCCTGAACCCTAAACCCTATACCCTGAACCCTGAACCCTAAACCCATTGCCGCCAAGGGTCGATTTGGAATCTTCTCTGAGGGATGTAAGCCCAGTTTGACCGTGACCAAGTCCT